ATACATATTTTTTCATAATGAACATAATTATATGTATATATGTACCCGATAATTGGTATGACAGTTTGCGGCATACATCATACAATCATCTACAGCTAAATCTAATCATCTATCATTTATAAAATAAATCTAAATAATTGCTTTGTATATAAGTTTTATTTTAATAAAAAAAAAATTATTCAAAACAAATACTTAGCGTATAAATAGCTTTTCAGCAATACCTAAACTATCACTTAAGACTTCCTAACAAAAGGAATCTAAATAAATACTTAACGTTTAACTAATTATTTAATACTACTTATATTATTATTGGAGACAACGTAACATAATGAATTATTGTAGATGACTATAGTGTAGTGAATTTAAATAAGGAAATTCTTGCATTTTTGATGCAAAATAAATACAGAAATGTTAAATTAATAAAATACTATTATAACATTTACGGCATATGGTGTATTCAGAACTCAAATACTCAATTGCTAAGTTGTTTGTAGCTAAATCTTAATGATAAAATTGATTAATAAAACCTCATTATTTTTTTAACAAGATAAAAATTAGTAGAAACTTTTGATCCCAGAGGAATTATTAGTTTTGAAACCACTAGCAAAAATTAAATACAAATTTTTAACATCTTAATCACAGGTTACAATCCATGCAGTTATTGACTTCGGATTAATTTGAAATATTTAAGAAGACATGGAAATCAAATAAAAAATTTCTCACATTAAGGATAATTATAGATTTTATACAATTTGCCTGCTTTTTCCGAAGCTCTTACTCCATTAAAATAAATTAAGCCGCAATTTAACGAATAGTCTGGACTTATTATAAGCTATTTAAACAAAACTATCAATTTAAAGAGAATTTTTTATTTTAATGGATGTCATTAAAATCAATGAATAATTTGCAATTTTCTTACATACTTTACTGAGCCCAAGCAATGCTGATTTGGAGTAACTTTTCAAGTCGGAAAAAGAAATCTGATCACAACAAGTGCTTTTTATTTCATAAAATTGGATCTTAATTTGTCATTTTTGGACTCGTTTCCTAATCAGCCTAAAAGTTTGATTAAAGATGAACGAAATCAAGTTAAAAAGTCGTGAAAATATTTTGTGAATTCACAAACGTTACAAAAATAACATATTCATTAGGAAACGTCATAAGATCTGAATCTTGTGATTTTATATCATATCTGAAAAATGATGGCCATATTGATTATGTTTTTGTGTTTCATTAATTTATTTACTATTATTTTACTCTTCTTCATCTTACTTATTGTTAAAAGCGATGAACTAGATCATTTATTTGAAAACGATAATAAGTTAAAAGCGATGAGCTAGATCATTTATTTGAAAACGATAATAAGTTAAAAGCGATGAACTAGATCATTTATTTGAAAATGACCATAAATTAAAAAGCTATGGGTGATCTAGTTACACCACTGATGTTTTTTTTTCTGTTTTGTTCTTCGATATGATATTCTTTTTTGTTAACACTGTTGTGTTTAAAATAATTAAAAGCTGTTAAGTTTTTTAACGTTGGTATTGGCAGTTTTTTTTTAAAATAGAGTTGTGTTTTAATCAGTTCTAGTTCGTGTTTTAACACTTATTGCAAAGTTTATTTTTTGCTTATTCATTCTGAGAAATTTGATCACAAAATGCCTTCTTAATCCTTATTTTTAGACAGTATTTTTTCACTGAAAAAATCCCATGCCCTTAAGAGGCTTTTCAACAATTTGCTATTAGCTGTATGCAACTTTGAAATAGATTTTTAGTTGTGAATTATCTGTGCATTTTAATAATTTCTGTTTTAAAGTGTGATTTTTTTTTACAGATAGGGAAACCCGATCAAAGCCACCCCCTCCACCCAAGCCTAGTTCCCTTTCCGAAAGGCATTCAAGTTCCCCACCTACTAGAGGTAGTACGTATTTACTCTTACGAAATTATTAAAATACATATTTTTTCATAATGAACAATTTTATTATTACTCTGTATGGATCTCTTCATAGTTTCTTTCTTTTAGAACTTCTACTCAATCATGTGATAAAGAATTGGAACTTTATGAACAGCTTTTTTATAACGAATTATACGTAATGATGAAAATTTCATTAGTTGGTTATTAAATAAATTAAACCGTTTACTCACACGATGGAAAAGGAATCTGGTAAAATTACCCTACTGAATGACATTTCTGGTTTTTAAAAAAAACATATTTCCGGTTAATAAAACCAATGCATACTGTATTTAAACCATTGATTTGGTAATTTTCCCGCTCATATGGTAACGGTTTGTCAAAAATTTTAATTTTCAAAATTATAGTTCTTATAATTACCAAACATTTAGTGAAGCATGCAAAACTGAAAAGTAAATTTATCCAAATAAACGGTTTTTATGCCATGCTTTAATGTATCATGATAAAAAAAAATACCAGATTTTACCACATTTTATCACATATAAAACACTATTTTGTTGTTAATTTTGCCAAAATCAATAACAAATCGCTTCGGTAAAAATTACCGATTACAAGGTTTCTGGTAGTTTTTGGCCATTATTTTTCAGCGCATACTTTTTTTTCAGTGTTTTCGCCTAACTTATCATTTCCTATTTTTTAATACTTCTATTAAGACTAAAAACTTCTTAATCAGGGAAATAAAAAGTTTCAAAACAAATGCTTTATACCAATATATTACTTCTTTCTTTTAATTTTTCATATATTGTATACAAAATTTTATAAATTTATAATTGCAAAACAGAACAGAAACAAAATTCTTATTTTAGAAAATTACGTAAATTTGATACAATTTAGAATTTAAAAGTAGTGCCTCAACAGTTACACCAAACATGTATCTAAAATAAAATTAAGAAAAACACCAAACCCGTTCTTCAAAATAAAACAATTAACACGTTCTCAACAGGACACCAAAATTTTCTAATCTTACAAAGATCGCTTTTTTTTTGCAAATTTTTTTTGTTCTATTAAACTAGAGAGAAATATTAAAGAATGTCACCCCTAATTCTAAAGCGCTTGCAAAAAAGGAACAATTTCTTTTTCTTGCCCTATATCACCTCTTTTTGGTAATAAACTAACCACTCATTTGACTTTAGATTGATTTCTTTTTGTGTTCTTTAATTATTTTTATATTTAGTTTATAAAAATTAACTCTAATTGTTTGGCTGTCTCTTTTATTTAAATTCTTTGATCATGTATTATTAATATTATGATTAAAGAAGAATGTCGACTGTTAAAGACGACAAAAGTATATTTTGTTCTTCTTAATTTTCTCATTTTTTCTTAATCTTAAATTTATGTTTATATTTAATATATTGCAAATTGGTATACTTCGTAAATGTATCATTAATCCTTTTACTGTTTTGGAAGTAAAAAAAAAAAGATAATTGTAAGTACCTATAGTTACTGGATTGTGAGACAAAAATAAGCTCAAAAGTTTTTTAAATATAATTAATTAATTTAGTAATAATTGATAATTTAAATAATTGTAATAAGATTAAACCAAGAGATCTGAACAGTTTCTTAAATAAAATATAACTTTGGATCCAACTGATAAAGGGATATTAACTAAAAATTAAATTAAGGATACATTACATTGAGATACATTAAAAAACGAGCCGACCAGGTGGCCGAGTGGTTAGCGTGCCTGACTGCGGAGTCATTGGCCGCGGGTTCGAATCCTGCTCAGAGCATGGATGCTTCTTTCTCTCTTTGTGTGAATGTGACCCGCCCTATAAACGGGCTTGTGGTTGTGTGACGTGGGCGACGCTGCTCCACCACCGTGGCTTCGCCGCAGGTGCGCACTGGGTAACGAGAAGAGAGTAGCAGTTCTGGCATTCCTGTGGCCAATAGGACAAACTCCAAGTATCCGCCAATTAAAAAAAAAGACAAAACTTTTATCAATTAGCTACTTATATAACGTATGTAGTATGTCTAAAATTTATAATTTCAGTAAGATATGATACTCATAAGAATCAGTAAAGGTGTTTTTACGGTGCAATACATAGCATGAATCATTTCTTTTTGCGATGCATACATAAAATATTTCTTAAAATAAAATCTCTTTGTTTATCAAACATGCAGCAGACAGCTTAGAAAGAATGTTAATATAAATTCGATTTAAACCGTAGTGAATGAAACCGAATAAAAGGTCAAATATAATAAAATTATTTCATACAATTAACAGACTTATGTACATAGTATATGACCAAAAATTACAAAAAGCATACATTATATAACTATTTGTATGCGTAGCTTGTCAAATCAATCAAACAAGAAGATTTTATTTTATTTTATAATTGTCGTTGAACAGCCGACCTAATTTTACCACGTTTATATTAACTTGCCTTCGTGTTCGGGTGGAATTTTGCAATCGATTTTAAACTAACTTCCGACTAGCTACAGACTTCAAATTTGGCACATAGTTCAGAAAAGGATGACAATGCATGAAAAAGAAGAGAAAGAGGACATACAAAGTAAAATAAAATTAAAATTAAAGAAAAATTAATATTTTCGCGGTTGTCTTTTGTTGTCGATTCGATTATTTCAAATGAGTGTCACATGTCAGTTGAAAAGTTTTGTGTACAGTGAGTGAAAAAATTGAAATTTTGGAAGTGAGTACAAAAAAAAATTCAAAATAAAAAATAATATTTTTAAAAACCACGTTTTTGTAGTGGAGAATAGTAATTAAAAAAAAAAAATTTAAAAACGAAAAACGTGGGGAGCATGAAATACATAACAGTACATATACACATTTTCTTACTCATACACATGCGCAGCCACATGCACACATAAATTCATATACACATGCATATACACAAACACATTCCACATAGACATCCACATTCAGATACAATTACAATTAGAGATATACATACATATATTCTCATGAGCACACATACACACACTAATAGAACATTACTGTTATGTATTTCATGCTTCCCACGTTTTTCGTTTTTCAAATTTTTATTTTTTATTTATTATTCTCCACTACAAAAACGTGGTTTTTAGAAATATTTCTTTTTATTTTGCTAGATTTACGACTACTAATGTTCAACTCCGTAACCATGTAATTTTGAACCAAATCCCGAAAGCAAGTTAACTCCTGGGTCAAGTACTGGGGGAAATTTGACTTCTTGGAGGACTTTTTGATTGAATTAACCCGCAATTTGAGTTACATCGAGAGCAAAACTACGAAAACCTCCCACGGTTAGACCCGCGTTAAGGGGATACTAATCCCATGATCCGTCTACCTCTGAGGATAGTTTACGTCAGCACCGTGGTCGGTGCGAGCCGAGTACAGAATTCGTATCGACCAGCCATCGCTTGGGTTAGAAGACAGTCCACCTTTTTGAAAGGTGAACGCTTTATCCCCTGAGCCACTGCCCCTTCTACAACAGGATCGCAATTACTTGGCAAATAATTGACAATTCTCAATACTTTTTATCAACCAGGAATGAGTATTGATATTTAATAGGCTATGACGAGTTTGCCAATTAAATCCGACAAGAAATACATTTCATGTAAATAAACCTCCATCTTAGCCGTCATGTTTTCAATGTCTTAAATTTGCATAATTAATCAGCATTTAACTTCTAATAATGGTGCAAAAGTATTTGCTATGCGTTATAAACATCATTTCACGCAAGAATTTATTTAAATAGTTTAAATGTCCCGCAGTGGACTGATCGTTAAGACACGGCTCCCAGCAGATCACCGAAGTCAAGCATCACTGGCTGCGGTCACTGCGCGGGTGGGTGACCACTTGGATCAGTCTGCGTAGGGACCGAGGGTGTACGGTATTGGTCCTCGTTAAACTGTGCTACCGTAAAGTGCTCGACTTCGCATGCAGGTCGTTGGGCTACCGAAGCGGGGGTGCCATCCCCTCTGCAGAGGATCAAAATTGTGATGGCATGTCTTCGGATCATCCTCAGGAATGTTTCCCAGACCGTCGCCAATAGCCCATTGTGCAGCTCTAGTGCGACGTAAATGAACTACAACAACAACATAAATAGTTTAAATGTACACTAAATAATTTCGAATTTATGGAACGCCAAAAAAAAAATCTATTCCCCTTCGCAAACAAGCAGTATATTTATTTAATCTTCATCAATTATTGATGTTAATATTTTTCACAGTGTTTACACGGTGTGAAGTAAATTAATTGCAATTTTTAAAATAATTCTTTACAGAAAAAAAAACATTTTGTTTATATTTGGTATTAATGTGTATCATTATTTGTCCAGAATTTCGGGTAAGCGTGGAAATGTACAGTCAGCTGAGGCATCTGAGGAGACAAACGAAGGACCTGAGGCTGGAAGTGCGGAATTTGAGGAGGATAGCGCAGTCTCAAGCCATCACTGCCAAAGAAACCGTTAGAGAAACCTGCCTTAAAATAAAGGTCATCTGCTTCTTAACTGATTCTCTCAAAACAATTTTTTATCATGATTACCTGTCTCTTTGAATGCTTTTAAAGAAACATCTGACCAAAAATTTTAGTGGACCATCACATTTACACTGAGAGAATATCCAGTACCTGATTTATCATAATGTCTGAAAGTCCCTTACCTAAGACCTCCACATTTCTGAATTTCCCCTTAATAAATATTTCAAATAATATATTTTTGACTTTTTCCTTGAGAATTGTCTAATAAAATTACAAGTTAACAAAAATTGCAATAAATATAAGCTCAAATTTGCTAATATGTCTTTAATTTACTCATATTATAAATAATTTAAAGGCACTTCATAAATGAGCAACGAGTACTTACCAGAACTGACCAGGGGCCCCTGATAGTTCCATGCATGAGAATAACATTTCTATTTGTTCTAGAAAATTAGATAAGATGTAATAACAGTGGAAAGCATTTTCTTTTGTTTATTTCATATTTAGAGATTACGTTAGCTTGAAAAACGATTTCAGAAGAGGATATATCAAAAACCCATCAGAATACGATTACCTTTACTGTAAATATGTACTGCATATATATTCAAATAATTTGTTTCATCATTTTACATAATACTTTTCTTCCAAAATTTCATTGATATTATATCATTAATATGTTTATGTTTATACCACAATATTACCTTATATGAAACATTCATTTATATATATATATATATATATATATATATATTTACATTTTCTTCTATCTGGGAGGACAGAACTCAGAATCTTTGTTTCACCAGGGATATGACTTTTACCCCTCGGATACGCAGATATGCATCAAAATTTATGCTCCAAATATATTATCAAACTGTCAAAGATATTATTTTTTTTTAAATAACCGGAGTGTCACTTTTATGCAATAATCATTTAGTTTTATAAAAAAAATCTATAGATAATTACAAATTTATGGCATACTTCAAGGATTAGTCCACAGACCATATATATTCCTTCGACTAAAAGGCGAGACTACTTTTGTCATACTATTCAAAATTTCATATTATTGGTCGAATTTCGGCATGCATAATTAGTACATTTGTTTAAATTTGAGAAGGTAGTCTAGCAACACCCTTAATCTAGTAATAAATAGATGTCTTTTAAATTTTAATAAGGTGGCCCCATTTTTCAGTAGATGAACATCTTATATACATGCCATATTTTAGAAGACTTTTCTAACTTGTAGATAAAATTTTAAACAAAAAATGCCATACGAATAAGCGCGTTAAATGTAAAGCTTATTTTTAGCATCTATTTTACGCAATGCAGTCCCTGACCAAATTATTCGACGCACTATAAGATTCTATGTAAAATATTAATTCTCAGGTGATACTATACAGCTATATTATTTTTACACGGCTGAAACGGGTTTGCACTTATTTACGTTCGTGTATCAATTGGTTAACATTGTAATGCAATACATTAAAAATAAATACAAATGGGAAGTATGTAAAAAATCTCCTGTATAAAAGCCCATTACACGTATGTTTAAATATAAAATTATTGCATAAAAACTCATGCAAAATATGTAATTATTAAAAAATTATTCTTATTATAATATACTAATATAATACCTGATATCATAAATATTATTTATTTACGTAATATGTAGTCTAATTTATTCAATCGTTGAATTTATATTATATATCGTCCAATTTAACCAATTCATACACGAACGTAAACAAGTGCAAACCGGTTTCAGTCACGTAAAAACAATAAGGCTGTATAGTATCACCTGATAATTCAGATTTTACATAGAATATCTTATAGTGCGTCTAATAATTTTGCCAGAGATTGTATGTAAATGCACTCCATGAGAGCATTCTTAACGCCCGAGGTAAACAGGCTTAATTACATTCGCCCTAGTATTCTTGTGAAAATATTGATTTTATTTAGAATGAAAAAAGGACATTAAAGCAAAACTAATAAATAGGATTCTTCCCTGCAGACGATGCTGGCGGCGGCGCAGATGGGTGAAGAACACGTTTGTGCAGAAAGGCTGAAAGTTTCGAGAGAAGAAGAGCTTTATCGGCAAGACGTCAATCACTTAGAAAGGGATCTGCTGTTAGTATTTTGTATTTATCTTACGCTTCATTAATTACTCTTTCATATGTAACTGATTGGAGAAAAAATAGTTTCTATGACATTGAGTTTCGAAACTTAAAGTAAGCTGAGGAAAATTTATAGAAAATATTACTTGCTTTGTCTTCTATACAATGAATCTTTATTTTGTTGTTGACACTTTTACCGAAATTGTTATTTAAAATCTAGTTTACTACTTCGATGAAAGTCTCCTATTTTTCTCCTATATTTATGATTTTAAAAATATTTTAAAAACTTAATGATATCCAACATATAGCACAATTTTTAAAAAATCGAGCAATATAATGTAAATATTTAATTTTGTATTTAATTTGAACGTAATTAAATTGAATACTGGGACTTATACTTAAAGAAAACACAACACTATTTGGTTTTAAAATATTATTAGCAATCAAAGAATGCGAAATTTTATTTAAACTACATTAAAAATTAAAGCATTAACTGAAACAAATACAGCTTATTTTTATTTTCGGACACTTTTCAAAATTTCTAGATTCTTATAGACTCTTTTTATAGACAGCAGAAAGTGATTTGTTTTCCCATAATTTTTACTGATTTGATATAGTGAAACATATTCAGATTGAAAAATATTCAGATTCAATGATTGTTATTACTCTAAATTTCATATTAAAATTCATTCGAATTGAAATTTAACACCCGATTATCTCTAAAAATAATATCTGAATTCTGTAAAAATTTAATTTGAGTTTATGAGATGGAAATCAAAAAAATACCGATTATTAAACTTCTTCAGCTCTAAACATTTTATTTTATTTCCTACATTTTGTTGCGCATCTGTTATAGAATATCTAATGTGTGTGGAATATAATCCATAACTTTCCCGGTTACCAACGTTTATATATTATAAATAAATTTTGACGCATTCAACTCTCTCATTTTCAATCAAGAGTTTGAAGTGTTTCACATGAAATAATTAATCACAAATTTATTGTAAATCAAATACTCAACGTTCCAAAAATAACCGATGATTAAAAAAATTTATTAAAACTAAATTGAAGAAAATTTGTGGTTTGCCTTGGAAAAAATAAAATTATTCTAATTTTATTAATCACTTGCAAAGTTTGCCAACAACAACTGAGAGCAGTACTGACTAAAAAGTATAAAATAATGTTTTCTATTTCGTGTTACTCAATTATTCTATTTCTTGTTATTCACGCAATTATTCTATGTCTTGTTATTCAATTATTCTATTTTTTGTTATTCTCACAATTATTCTATTTTTTGTTATTCTCACAATTATTCTATTTCTTGTTATTCAATTATTCTATTTTTTTGTTATTCAATTATTTTATTTCCTGCTATTCACACAAATATTTTAGTTCTTGTTATTCAATTATTCTAGTTCTATTATAATTCTAGCCGAAATATTTACACAGTCATCTGTTAGTTTCTTCCTCTACCAGCTCCAGGTTATTTTGAAAACAATATCTTATAATATTCTTCGGTTAATAGCACCATCTGTTGAGGAAATCCATAACTATTTTTTAAGGAAAACGCCGCATTACATTTTTTATTTTTCTCTTTTTATTATCTTTCTTTAATTAATTTCTGAAATCATTGATTTGTTTTGGCAAAAAAGTCTACTGCAAGAGTTGCTGAAGGATATGAGCAATCTTTAATAAGCATACTTCAATTCATAAAAGTATTTTACAGATTAATTGGCACAAAAACTTTCTTATTTCAACGAAGTATCTAGATTTAACTTTTTTATTACAATGAAGTATCTAGATTAAGCCATTTTAAATATATTGTATCCATTCCCCCAGAGAGTTGGAGAGTCAAGTAGAGGAGCTGAGAGGTAGCGTCATCAATCGAAAATGTCGGGTGAACCTCGGTGATGTCGAAGGAATGGCGCTGGTTCTCAGTAGAGCGAGTAAAGCAGTAGCTGAACTCAAAGGTCAGTTCATTGATCTACTTTTTTAGAACCATTTATTAATTGAGTTATTATGACATGGCAGGGTGCTGTGCTAATACATTTATAAAGGTATCTTTACCTAGGTATGAGATTAGGGCCTAAAGGCACTATATTGGGCCCATTAATGTACATACTCTGCACAGTAGACTTACCAACGAACCAATCCCGGCAATATTATTGACCTGAGCCGCGATGACTCAGTGGATAGGGCGTTCACCTTCCAATAAGGCGAACAGGGTTCAAATCCCAATCGATACGAATTCCGCATCCGGCTTGCACTGACCACAGTGCTGACGTGAAATATCCTCGTGGTAGAAGGATTATGGGTTAGAGTCCCCTTGCCATCAGGCTAACCGTTGGAGGTTCTCGTGGTCTTCGTCTCTATATAACGCAAAGGCGGGTTAGCTCCACCAAAAAAGTCCTACCTGAAAGCAATTTCTCCCAATACTCGATCCAGAAGCTTCCTTGCCTTCTAGATTGGGTTTAAGATTACAAGGCTACGGAGTTAAACATTATTGGTCGTAAATCCATAAAATTGGATCGGCTGTTCAACGACGGTTGTAAAAAAAATATATTATTGACTTAGCAGCTCTCTACATGGATGATAGCGCTATACGAACTAAGTCTGTTGATCATGGAAAAACTAACAAGAACCAAGAGGCCAATATCAGCAAGATTAAAAACTGGTACGCTATTGGAAAAATCAAAGAAGAGCCAACTCTTTGTTTTTAAACCCATGGCAAAGTGATGAACATTCTCAACATTAATCTTGTTGGCAAGCTAATCTTGTTGGCGGTATAAACACCCATTAACGACTTGCTCTTGTGTGCCTACTTTACTTCATGTTAATCATTAATCGTCTCTTATACAACCAACTTCGACCAATTTTTATTAGTCAATTTGTCAAAATCGATCCAAAATCTGAATGATATAAAGTCTTAACCCAAGAGTTTCAAATATCATGGCTTATAACATGGAACTAGTTTGACATTCGTTCATTTCCGAAGTGTTGACGGGAAGTGCAAAAACGTTATCAATGGCAACGTTATTTTCAAATGGAACCAGTCATTTCTGAAAAAGTGATCATTACTATGTTCTCTAATTACCAGTGCCCGTTGCTAATTGATTTTAATAAATTGTTATTTGAAATGTCTCAATCATTGGAGCAGAATGCAATTCAAGACGAACGTCCTGGAAACTAAGGAATGGGAGATTCCTTCTTCTGTATAACGAATGCCTAAACGCAGAAATTGGACATTCTTGAGAGGGATATACTTGAGCATTACCTTACAGTTTTTATCTCTTCGCCGTGCAATTCAAACATCTGCAGTCCCTTTAAAAAGTCATTAAAAGGTCGAGGGTTTCTGTCAAATGAAAAAATGCAGCAGCCACTTCTAGTATTTTTCATCACAGCACCAAAAAAAAGAAGTATTTTCAATATTTAAAATAGTGAAGCAGTGAAATGATTTTTAAAGGCCGTTAGCATAACTAACACGCTAAATCTAAGATCTATAATTTTCAAACTGAAGCTTTTTGATAGCTCTTTATAAAGTCAAGTCTCCACTAATTACGAAAATTAATTTTAAAAAAAAGGTAAAATGCAATATACCGAAATTTTGTAAGGTCATTAGTTTCGCGGAATATTTAAATCCAAAATCAGCGTTCAGTCTCTCAACATCATTGCCTTTTTACGAAAACAAATAAGCACCTTATACCAGCGTAAAAAAAGTACTCAAACTATAGTTTGTCAAGTTTATGGTGAAGCAAATAATTCCAAAGACCTTCTGATGCATTTGTACAACCAACGCATTTGCTTTGATAGGTTCATCTTAAAAAACAGTCGATAGGCTTCCAACACAAGAACGTACATTTAAGAATATTTAAAAAAAATTTCATTTGATTTTGAATTTTTTGTTATAGCTCGGTTCCCTGCTTTACAAGAAAGCTTAAAAACTATAATGGCCGTCGAAATGGAAGTTGTGGTTCGTGAAGAAAAGTAAGATCAAATTTTCAGAAATTTATATCATATTAATCATATTAAATATTAGTCATATGAAATATAATTAAATATTAGTCATATTAAATATATTTAAATATAATCATATTAAATATTATTACCCCTTATTAGTGCATAATTGCGATCAGAATTTCGTTAATTTCACGACACACCTGAATAGATTTCAGCTTTACAAAAAATTCATTTATGAATTCTTGGAATCCATGAATTAATTTTTCCATGATTCCGAAAATTCATTTTTAAATTTCTTAGTCCAGCAATCTGATCTTGGGCAAGTACCTGTTTTAAAAATCATTTGGTTTGACTTTTTAAAATTGTTATTTTTTATTAAAATTTTCAATTTTCACTTTTTTTAAAATTTTTTTAGCTTTTAAATGTTTATGCTTAGGTCAAGGCTTTTCCAAGAGTTCATTTCTAAGCTAATTCTTATTGAGCTTATATTTTCCCAGAATTCATTTATAAGCTCAGTTTGTCATATGTCAAGTTCATTTTTAAATTTCTTAGTCCAGCTATCTGGATTTTAGCTAGTTTTTGTTTTAAAAATCCTTTGGCTTGGCTTTATAAATTTGAGGCTATTAAAGTTCTCGTTTTTTATTAAAACTTTCAATTTTAATTCCTTCAATTTTCTTGGCTTTTTAAATTTTTCATGCTTAGGTCTAAGATTTTCCAGGAATTCATTTATGAGCCATCAACTTTCTGTTTTCAAAATTTTTTAGCTTGAATTTTATAATTTATCAATCTATAGATCAGGATATAATTAGTTTAAACTTAAATTACTCAAATCAAATTTTGACTGATAATGCCAAACATGAATTATTAAAGTGTATTGTCATAATGAAATCAGTGTTTATATTATTTCTGATGAAATCAACATTTTTAGGTTCCTTAAAGATGAACCTGAAAGACTTGAAAATGCCTTAAAACGTTGCAAAAAGTTGACGGGTACGCTAGTCACCTTGAAGCGGTAAGGCTGCTTAAATTTCCAATTATTTTATATATTATCATTAAATATGACATAAAAAACAAATATATCACAAGGGGGAAAATAAATAGAAAAATGTAATATAAGTTCCGATCTATCATTTACTTGATGTTTCTATTATAAAATGATGTTAATTTTTTTAATATTCTAATGATATGATTTTGTATTGATTGCTACTAATTATATTTTAATGTGCTAGTAGCAAAAGGAAATAATTTTTGTTTATAAAATTGAATTTCTTATGCAAATGGCCTTAGTGTTTTATGGCTATAGTTATAATAATAAATTATAACAACTTGGTTTAACGTTTAAGGTTTTAAGTTTTGGTTTGGTTTAAGGTTTTGTTTAAACATATCTCTTAAAATGATAATATTGGAAAAATCCCAAAGAAGGAAAAAAACTATGCATTTAAGGAAACTTTATGTTAATCAAACTTTTTAATTGTTTTTCTTCAAACGTAATTTAGTTATTTTTTAATGAATAGTTGCCAAGTAATGAATAAGCTGCTTGTTAACTCATAATGTAAATTGTAAATTTTTAAACCTATGAAAACTTTAGAAATGGTATGAGAATAAAATTACGAAAAGATGTTTTAAATAGTTTCTCTAGCAACCCGAAATTTTATTGAATAAATTATTTTATTCTTTAAAGCTAAGGTTTTTAAAACTTGCAAGTTATTTACGTTTTGTAACATTTAAAAGTTTACAGAAGAACAGACCAATATTTTTTGGATTTTTTACTTCAAGTTTAACTTATTTAAAATTTCGGAAAACTTGCAACAAATATAAATTTATTATTTCTCAATAGTGTACATAACTTGCCTCATTAATAAGAAACAATTTTTTAACAGATTTCGTAACAGCTTATAAAAAAATCAATGCATATTTTCGCAGTTTTTTTTTCTGCAGCTTAAAATATATTTGTTTGACTGAGCAAATTTTAAAACCTCCTAAATTAAACCATGACATTTGTTGGAAATTCCTATAAATTACATATAGTTAACTATAAAACTTACGTTTATGTTTTTACAATAAATATACATTAAGTATATTTATCATGAAAATTCGTAAACAAATTATTATTGTAATTAAATTATTATTGAAGTATTCGCAAAAAAATTATCCGAAATAAAGGAAAACTTAATGTAAATAAAACATTGCATCATTTGTATAATTTATTCTATAATTATTAGTCTGAAATTATTTTTTAAAATTTAAACAAAAAATAATAATTTTATTTAACCTATTATGTGACATGCTTTTTAATAAATTTACATCAAGTATAGTTATCATAAAATACAAATATTTGCAAAGAAATTATCCTAAATAAATGAAAAGCTAATATAAATAAAACATTGCATAATTTGTTCTACAATTATTTATCTAAAATTATTTTAAATTTAAACAAAAAAATAATAATTTTATTTAACATATTATGTGATGCATCTTTTTTTTTTAAAAAAAAAAGTTAATTTAGAAATGAATTTATACAATAATTAGATTATATAACATTAACAATAATTTAAATAAGATTATTTCTTTTATATTTTACATAAAAAACATAATTATCTGAATATTGGTAATAATTAACTTTATAAAATGTCGGTATTATTAATAACCTTTTTATTAATAAAATATCGCAGTGAATAAACAAAACCCCAATATAAAAGAAACGTAACATAATTTTTGTTGTATAATTATTATTTTAAAAATGAAACAAAAACAATAATTTTTTTTGAAATATTATTTTAATAATTTTTTTAAAGAAGTAAATTTAATTATGCATTTATACAACTATCACATTATATAAAACTTTTAAAAGTTCCTACTTACATAATAATTTAAAAAAACAGCTTTTTTCTTCAATATTTTTCCTAAAAAAACAAAGTTATCTGCATATTAGTAATAATAAACGTTATAAAAAATATGCATTATAAATATCTGTTTTTTATTACTAGAAATAATATGCTTACAATTGATATTATAATTTTTTTATCCTGCCATTTACACTTATCAAAATCATGTTATAATGTATTGTTATCTTTTCACATTCCCTATTTTGTAGTTTTAAATGTGTAAATTAGTTTTCTTTCTTATATTTACACACTTCTCTGGTTATTGCATGGGTGTTATTATCTCTCTCTGCTGCTTCGGACTTTTCTACATGCTTTTCTGTTTTTCTTTTTAATTCGTAAAATATTACATATTTTAAACTTTTTTCATTTATTTAGTTATTTAAGATTGAGTTTTTTGTGAAATCTAGGTCACAGAAATTTGAAAAGAGTATATACTGAAATTACTTTTTGCTCACATGACTTTTTTTGCTCTTTTTGTGACATTTTTGTATTATTCGTTGTGAATTAAAAAATATCCTGATGTCCCCCCTCTCTAAGTAATGTAATATATTTATAATATTTACAATTTATACGTATTAGTAGATTAGAAAATAAAGCAAAATTTGCCTTGTTGCGAGTGAATTGAACTATTAAATAACAAAAATTTTAATGTGTAAAATAATTTGAGCAACTTTTTAAACTGTTTTTAAAAAAAATCAACAAGCTTGATGATTTTTCAAAATGGTAAATTAAGTGAAAACATTTGCTTTAAGAACTATGAAGGTCTATCTTAGAACTATTTTGCGATAAAAAACAATGGCTAAAATATAATTAAATATAGATTTTTTTCCTGAAAATAGCTGTATACATCTTAATATTTATTTCTATTGGAAAGCCAACAATTCTTTTAGAATCTTTAAAATTTTAAAACCATCATTAGTTCTATTTTCATCGATTGAAGTCCAGTTATAGAGAGAGTTTCTTAAAGTAAATCCCAAATATGTTTTTTTCATTTAATCAAAATATATTTTCTTTTACAGTTATCTTGGCCATTGTTCTATAAACATTTTAAATTTTTTAAGTCCCCTTTTTTCTTGTTAATTAAATAGTGATACAGTGGCGTAACTACTTACAATTTCACACATAATAAAATCTATGTATTGTAACCAAAAATAATTATCTCAACTGAATTTTTTATAATGGTAGTTAATTATATATTTAAGTAAACTTAAGTAAAATTTGAAATACTTGAAATTATCTCCAGTGAAACAAAATTGTTAAAAAATACATAATGCCTTATATTTATTTAATTAATTGTAGTTCAGAAAATATTTTTAACCTATGAAATTTTTGAAAGTTTCATTGTGTGTGCCAACTGCATTATCTACGTCAAAAGAACATCATAATTTAATATTGATTTTTTATAAAACATATGATAGAATGATTTTTATAAAACATTATAATTATATATACCGGATGTAAAAACAATTCTTAGAAAAATTTAAAAATGACTAAATATTATCTAAGCATAGCTGAAAAAAGTTAAAAGCACCTAATTATTATACTTCTTTGTTTTTAATGAAAATTTGAAAAATGCAATTCTTTCTAATGCGTCTACTTTTTGTGAATATTTTAGTAATATATTTACATAGCTATACAAATTCAAGGATTATGAACGTTATAATATAAAATATTTGATTGAAATCTCATCTATTTTTATTCCTGAACTATGCGGTTAACAAAGGGCAGCCGTCACGTGGTAACCGTGACGTAATAGATTTTACACATCTCAATTTAGAAAAATAAAGAAATAAAAATATTTGTACTGTTTAATGAATTAAAATCCCAGACCCCATGATTTTATATATCTTTAGAAGTTGACCTATTCATGCACTGCACAATATGGCCATCAAATATTTTAGCAGATTCTATTGCACATCTATACTAAGAAATTTTTGTGGTGATTAACTTTCGAAAAATAAGCATTGCTGTACCCCTATTATCTCTCTCTATTTTCAAACAGCTTAAAAATTCTTTAGAACTTTCTGACAAATAAAACTTTCCGCCACCTCTGAGTTAAATAATTATAGAGCATTCAAATTAGCAGAAAATGTACATATATTTAAAATATTTATTAAACGGTTAGAAATTAAAACAATTATGCTGGCTTCAATTATTCGTTATATTACTTGCCCATAAATAAAATTCTGGTTTAATTAATTTGCGATTAAAAAGAGAAAATACATAGTGGATACAATTATATTTTCCTTGTTTTGATTAGCATAGAATCTGTCCTGCTGAACGAGTTTGAGGAAACATAGTATACACTTTATATGGACCAAGAAGAAAAATTCTGCTATAAAAATAGTTCTACCTGCGCATGCTATTTCCGAAAAAAGTTATTATTAATGCAGAATATACAGGAGAGATGAAGAGTTAAGGAGAAAAGTGCAGCAGGGAAGAGCAACGAAGTGGCTTTTAAGTATGAAATATCATGCAAAAAGTACAAAGGTTCCAAGTATGAATGCTTCAAATATCAATCTTGTTCATGATCTAGTTCAGCAACATAACACTAAATCAGGAAAGTGTTTGACGAAACTAGAATGGACATTGGTTGTAGCCATATTTAAATAAAGTTTTGTCATCAAATTTATTTTTTTTCTTCTCAATGCATGTTCTTTCATCCCTGGTGGTCAAATTTTAAACTCTTTGCTATGACAGATTTCTAATCTTAATCTTCATAGTCCATGTAACGCATATAAACTAAATTCATCAACATCCCTCAGCCAAATAGATTCTATGTCGATCGAAACCGGTAAACTGTAATTATAGCTAATTCATTCCATTTATTTATTCTTCCTTTTTGTATTAGAAGATCTTTGAGAGCCTTCATATAGCAAAAGAAAAAACGATTTGTTTCCAAAGAATAAAATTAGTGTTATCTGCGAATCATGTTTCTGTCAGTATTTAATGATTTTCTAAAGTGCTAATTGTCAGTTCTGCCTTTTCTAGGAAATGTATTTCACTAACATTAAACTCTAAACTAACACAACTAACATATTTAACACTAGAAAGACGGAAAATTAGTATATACCTATATTGCCCAAAAGCAGTCAGAATGATTGGGTTGGGAATGCGTAAATAAATTTGCTTAAAATTAATTTTTAACATTTTTTACATTATTTACAGTTATATAACAAGTTATTAGTAAATATTAACAACAAAAAATATTGTATGTTGTACAAAAAATCACAAAATTCTAAGAAATTGTATCATTATATACTACATCATTGTTTTTCTAATTGAAATTAAAAGCAGTCAAAATGACTTCCTTAGGCGATCTAGTGTTAAAAATAACGGTGAATATTTTTTTTAAGCGTTGCTGCCTTTAGTTTGAATGTTTAAGTTATGTATATTTTTAAGCAGACATTTCTATGTACTATGCAATCATTAAATTCAAAACTGATTAAATACGCGAGAATTGCAATAAACGCTTAATGTAAATATAAAGACATTGTAAAATGACCAATATTTTTTTCAACAAGAAATTTGGTAATTAAAATTTTTTTTCTACCGCAACATTAACTCGTGGTGTTCCCTTACAGTACTTTAATATAAATTAAATTATGTAACATTTACGGAAAACTAAAGCAAACAGTTGGAAAATAAACAGATAAAAAGAAGGGAAAATATGGAGGACTGGTTACGCCACTGTAAGCTATAAATTGTGATTATACCTGTAAGTCATAAGCGTGGTCCTTACAGACTGGCTTCCGTTCAAGAGCAGCGGCACACTGTAGGTCATCACCTGCCCGAGAAGTCGCATTCCGCCGACGGACCTCACTCCGACGGAGAAATGCACTCAGCCAAAGTTAGTATTCTTAACCGCCAGGTCCTCCTTTCTTCCTCTTGCATTTCTGCTTTATCATGCTGGCTTTCTAAGGATTGGATTTCTATGGTTCTTTTATTTGTTGACTCTCTATGAATAAATACGAATGAAACATTTAAATAAAAAGAAGATGAAATCCATTAATACATTATAAGTAAATCATTCGATTACATGAAATACGACGTTGCTATGTGAAGGGTTATCATGCAATTATTTTAGTAAGATTCTCTTTTTATAAGAAAAAGGTGTTTCTTGTTCTATTAACAAAACTAGCAAATTAATTAGAAACTTAACAAAAGTGATATAGTTAATGATTATTAGCTTTATCTTCAAACTGCGAGTAGTATGTAACTGAAAAATTACACCAATTAATTTATTTACCAATTAATTAATTTATTTATTAATTAATTTGTTTATTAATTAATTAATTTGTTTATTAGTTAATTTATTTATTTATTAATTTGTTTATTAATTAATTTATTTATTTATTTGTTTTTGACAACAACAAAAAAATTATAAAAGTATGCTAAGGCTTTTTGCATCTTACTCCTTCTTACATTTCCAGAGTAATATTCACAATCGCTACTATTTCATTAATTTCAAATATATATTTCTATATTCGTTTTTAAATCCAACTTTCTCTAAGTTATGATTGTCTTTTCCATTTCAAATTTGACTGAAGATTTCATACTTTTAAGGGTCCAAAATCGCATGGTGGAAATATGGTCAGAAATACGTATCGTCCGTTTTTGCTTTGACCTAAAAATAGTTTTACTGATGTCAAGTAAAAACATTTGAAATGGATCGATCAAAACCATTATCATAAAAGAGTCAGCAAATAAACCTATCCTTAGAGAAATTTATAAAAGAAAGAACATTTTAATGGATTCTTGTATATCCTTAGAAAGCATGCATATCTTCTGCGAACATATGCTATCTACATTGCTATTTATTAAACTTTATGCAAACCTAATATTTACAAAAGCAAATATTCTCCTTCTGTTTAGAAAATGAAACAAAATAGAAATTCCAATGCTCAAACTGTGTCATTATTTTGAAATTAAAGTTTTATTTCATTTTATCTGTTTTGAAGGAAAAGGAGAATGTCTGTTACATTAAGCATAAATTAAAAAGCACTACTTCTTAATATTTCCTTAATTTCTCAATTATAACTATTTTTCATTCCTTTCCTACTAAAATTAAACATTAAACCCAATTTCGGTAATTTTCAAATTTCCTTAACCCTTGACCTTACAGCATGTTTTTGAAATTGGTGTGTATTTGACCAACTTTTTCTCATCATTCGAAGCTGTATTTTTCCTATCCTAAAAATTAGCATTTTGGTTGTCAAAAATACAGGAAACAGCAGAGCTTTTGATAAATTACTTTGTATTTAACAGTTAAATATAAAGCTCTGTAATTTCTTCACCGCCGAACATACAACAGTTAAATTCAGTGCAGAAACATTTGCATAATAACTATTTTCATTGCACTTTTTCTGTTTCTAAATATTAGCATATTTAGTATATCCATTCAAGATTAGTAGTTAAATTTATGCCCATGTTTTACTAAAGAAATTATTAATTTATAACCTTCCTTCTATTAAAACCTGAGTAATAATTTATTATTTATTATTCAATAAGTAAAATTTTACAATGAAGTAAAACTTAGAGCTTTGGTATAAATTTCTTGATATAAGCAACAACAAAAAAAATTTTAAACTTTTTTAAGCGTATTCTTAATATTTTTTTACAATAATTGTATTTATTCACGATAAGTAATTGTATTTATTCACAATAAGTAATTATAGAAGGATTCTCATATTTTTCGTATTGTAATTATTCTAAAAACATTAGAATCCTAGTTTTGAGAGTTTATTATTATTAGTTTTTAAGCTAAATTTTTTTATTCATATTTTATTTCCTGATAATGTAGAATTATGTTAATATAGAGTCCTAATAATATAGAGTCAATTCAGTGCAGATAAAAAAAATATTTTAATAATATTTTTTTCACGAACACAAATGAGCTTTTAATTAAGTAAGGAATAAGTAACATATATTTTTGTGCATAACAATTATTTCAAATCAAATAAATGTTTTTTTTTCTATACATATTAATGAAATAAAGATTTATCAATAATGCACACTTTAAGTTTTTTACAAATGAAGAAAATTTAGCAAAATTAAATTGGCGTAAAACTAAATGAATCTAAGAATATTTGTAACCAGTCAGTTTTTTTTCTATATTTGTCACAAACGGTTTGAATGACTTATTTTTCTGCCTTCAATTATATAAAAATATATGTTCATTTTTTTTTCAAAAAATTTCTTAAAATTTAATAAAGTTAATAATGTTAAGAAAATAATTATGAAATAAAATTAACCAAATCGTGATTAATAAAACCCATGAACTATGAAATTCTAAATCTTAACTGCCTTCGATTATAAAATATATTTGTGGGTAAGTGACCTTATTCAAATATATAATATAATTATGAATAAGTAAGCACTTAATTTGTTATTACCTTTTTATATTTGAAACAGCTATCTTGAATTTTTCAAATCTATTCTTAATATCGCAGTTTCAAATTCAATTAATACAATATTTAAATATAAAAATTAGAAAATATTATTGAACGCATTTAAAAACTTTTTTTTAGCTTTTGTTAATATAAAAAGAATATATATTTCTCCTTAATGGTCAACACGTAAGTTTTTGAGTTTTCAAGTAAGGAAAAATTTGATACATTTCTGTCTATATATCAATCTATTTATTGATGTGAGTTATGTTCGGCGGAAATATTGATATCTACATTCCCATAATCCTTTGCAACCTAACCACACCTGGTCTCCTGAAACCTTCAATATTAAATAATATTTTGAAAAAAAAAAACTTTTTGTGGCAATTTTGCGCGCATAACAGTGATTTTTTGAAAAAGCATTTTTGTCTTTTTTGATTGGCTGGAACTGCAGCCAAATGAATGCAGTAGTAACTCATTTTTTGCTTTTTTGTTTTTTTTTTCGTCGACTTTTTCAACGCCTTAGTCAAGCCGGCAGGGTTGGAAGCGGAGTTCTAACTTCAAAGAGAAGATAGAGTAATTATGTCAACAACTTGATTTTGAATTATTTATTTTTTTTTCTCTGCCTTTTTTGGAATACTATCTAGGCACTGGTTTTTGCATTTTTTTTAAAAGAAAAAGCCTTTTGTTCATCTTGCTCCGCCATTTTCTGCTTTTTTTATGTTACAGTTAGCTCGCTTCCTTAAATCTAAGCATGGCCTATACAATGATGAAAGAGACTTTGCTTTGTATATTTTTTGTTTCCACTTCTTTTACCTGAAGTAAACAAATTAATACAAGTATATTAAATTCTGACTAACTTAAAGTTTTTTGTTCATTCCGAAAGCAGAAATAATGCACTTAACATTAAAGATAGGATATTTTGTATAGGCATTAAGTCTTACTATACAGATATTTCGTAAAAGGAACCATCTCAAATCTTACAAAAATTAAATTTATGTCGAATTAACTAAACATTTATTATATTGCTGTTCAAAACATTCTGAGCTAAAGTTCTCATTTGCAAAAAAGTCCAAAAAAGGGATAGTATTCGACATACGGGGCCTCAAACATAAGAGATTTAGTCAATGATTACTTGTGGTGAAGGGTGCTAGCAGCGCACATCATTGGCTAATTAAGGAATGTCAAGAAATGCTATTCGTTTAGCGTTGGATGCTCTGGCGTGCTACTAGCTTTTTAATTACCAAATGGAATTTTAAATGCTTATTAAAAAGTTCATTATTAACTTTTTGTTTTCAAATATCTTTGACTTATGCTAATGTTGAGATGGAATTAGAGAATTGAGAATTACTATTTATGTTTTGAGGCTTCGTATCTCGGAAACTATCAATGAGAACTGTTGATCCGAATATTTTGAACTACATCTTATTATTTGCATGAGGTCTTTTATGGTAGTTACTTGATCTCACGTATAAAGTATAAAGTGCGTGTCTGTCAGCATACATACATAAAATATGTATTATATATATATATANTATATATATATATACGCTCCCCATAAACAGCGTGTTATAGCGCGACACTTATAGTTGGAAATCAATAGACATTCTTATCCAGCTGCTATAGTGCGACACTTACAGTTGGAAATATATAGACATTCTAATCCAGCTGCTATAGTGCGACACATATAGTTGGAAATCTATAAACTAGCTGTTTGGGCTAATTATAACTATTCGTTATAATAAAATATCATGGCAGGTGGGAAAATAGATGAACACGTTTGACTCCTTCTGACAATTTTTTGAGAGAGATATCTCAATCGACGTTTGTAGTACAGCACCTATACCTCCTTGTTTCGTTTTTAAAAAGATGCCTATGCATCAGTACTTTCTATGACATTATGGGTAGTGTTTAGAACTATGACTATATTAATATAATATTGATTTAAATATAAAATGAGCAACAACAGTCATTCATCGAAGTAAATAGGGGGACAACAATTATGATAACAGCACCACCTAACATCGCTTAAACGTAATAGACAATTACTCTTGCCTGATGCGAGAATCGGGAAATAGTACGCCTTAAAATATTATAATTTATGCGCTTTTCATACTTCTATTCTAGTGTGAATATAACAAGATTTTTACCAAGGAAAGTCACAATAACGTCATATAAATAATTTACCAAACAATACTTAGCATCCAATCCATTTAAATATATTAAAACCATATTCTGAAATATTTCAAATATTTAATACTTTTTGGCAATATTTTTAAATGTTTCAGCAATAAAAATATTTTTTAATTAACATTCACTTTTTTAAACGGAAAATGTTTTGTAAATTTTATCAAGAAAAAGCATTCACCGATAGCAACTATATATTTATTGTATATAAATTACTTAAAAGATGCTTTTATATTTTCGTAAAATAGGTAAGACTGCCCAATCGTAGGTTTTA